CAGCTACAATAGGACTTCCCTGACCCAAATATACAGTTTTATTCCCCCACCCTCCCCACTCTGTTAGGCCAGCCAGCCAGCGAAAAACAGAGTCAACAAGCAAGTGTGTATATGTGGTGGTCCTGTGTGTCGGTCAATACAAACCAATCAATACACAGAGGGCTTTTACTGAATCAGGTGTGTGAGGGGGAGAGAGCATGGGTGTGTGTTTGGGTTGGAGGATGGTTATAGGAGACTGGGTTAATCTGTGACTGCTCGTCTGCGCTGATGATAGTATTGATCTGATGAAGATCATCTGAAGGTCAGGATATGTTGTCTCTGTTTGGACCGCCTTGATATTAATACACTGTTTGTCCTTTCACTGCCGGTATATTACAGCATATACTACTTCATTGCTAATAGAAACATCAAATATAACAGCAGAGGGCCCATAAAGTGGAGTGGACAGAAAGTATATCTCTGGCTTTAGGATTTTACAAGCGCAAGTTTAAAGATCAGTTGGACAGCAGGGGTGTCGCAATGTACCGGATTGACAATAAAAATAAAATACAGTTAAATGATTTATAATAAACATATGATAACATCCTATGAACAATCCAGCACCATTTAATAGTTTTCTCTCATTTATGCTTTGTCTCTGTCCCAGACCTCCACACAAACAAAAGAGTGTAATAGATATGCTAAAAAAGGACAAAATGGGTTTCACTTATTAGAAAGCTTCAATAAATGTCATTAGATATTGTTAACCGAATTGTTTTGGTCACAATAATAGTGTTGTGAAAACATGATATTGGTGTAGCCCTAATAGTGCACAATGTGTTTGTGTCAGTGTTTTGAGTTATAGGCAAGTAGAATAGTTTAAACATGGGCATTTTTATAATCAGTTTCTTAAGCAAACAGAAGACTATGGCTGAAAAGTGGATCTGTGAGGTTGGCATTTTATGATTGACACCTTGATACCTTCTCTCTCTATGGGTCATTATCATCATTTCAAAATGATGAAACAGAAACTAGGCTTGTTAGCACTTAATTATTCATTTGAATACATAAAGGCAATCAATTAAGCTTAAGTGTGCAATACATCTGATTAACCAGTCAGTTCCCAAAACACCTTATACCCTGGTAATGAGTTTTCAAGTATGGAGGGGGGGGCTAATAAGTGAGGGTGCTCACCCACAAACACAAACATATGCCCACGCACACACCCCAGGTTTACAAACCACTATTGTGTTTGATGCTCTTTTTTCTCGGGTGATAATTTAATGTATTAGCATTCGGGGATGAAAGATAAGCACGGCTTAATGTATGCTAATATTAAGGTCTGTTGTGTGTATCAAAATAAAGCAAGGTCATCAGGAAAAGGCACACTTGTAATTAATAGATGAATTCATTACAAAAACAATGAAAAACACTCATTAACAAGATAAGGCATTAGAAACGAAAATAGAAACGTTAATGTGTTGACAATGAGAGTGACTATATTCAACCTTGAGATGCTGTTAATGCAGTGTGTGTGTTTGATTGGGAAAATCTGCCGGCCTCTTTTCCGCCACCGCCACTCATTATTCTCTGACACACTTGCTCGCTGCCTCTCTGCCTTCCTCCCTTTATTTCAGCCTCCTTCTATCCCTCTCTCTCTCTCCATCCCTCCCTCTCTCGCTGGCCTTTACCTGCTTGCTCGCCTCAAGGGAAATTACCACAGCTCAGAAACGCTGTCCAACTGCACTGCAACGCTCCGCTCTGCCCTGCCTCCCTCCACCCATACAGCACACACATATGGACACACACAAACATACAGACATATACTGTGGACATGCACTCACACGAGCATTCATGCACACAGAAAACACCCTCACATACACACAAAGACTACACATTAAGCCCCTCCCCACCCCTAGCATTGCCCCTTCACCAGACGCTGCTAAGACTGATTCTTCTTACTATTGTCCTCCCCCCATAATATATATGCAGAGGCAAAGCAGTATTGGAAGCATTTCGCTGCCAAGGTCTGCAGTGTATTTGTATACTATAGTGTAATAGTGTGTGTATGTGAATCGACTGCATTCGTTGTTATATTAATACATGTATGAATGTGTGTTTAAGTGCAGGGGAGAATGAGAGTGCATATATTTCCCTACTTAATGAATTATATGTGTTGGACCTCTTCTGTTCAGGGTAATTCACTCTTTAGTCTTAATGAAAGTTAATGAAAAGGATCCCTCCTCCTCTTCTTATGGACTGCCATGCCTTCAGCAATACTTGCAGTCTGTCTTATCTATCAATGCAATACTGCAGACCTTGAGATGAGCAATGAGCAACTCAGCAGGGTTTTACTGCTTTCACTATTATTTAATGGAAAGACACTTCAATCACAATGCTAATCAGAGTGAGAAAAACTCAATGAACGTTTCAGCTCTATCGCACAGTGGCTTATTGCACATGTTTTGCCTTGAAGTTGCGGGCACAGGAGACTCACTGTGCAACACTTTTATGTGCAGTTAGAGATGGTTTTATTTTGCTCCTTCCTCTGTCAGAATTATCATCATGACGGTCCTTTAGCATATGTCAAGTCATGCCTTTGGAAATGTCACTTTGAGGGAAGCAGCAGTAGCTCCCTGTCTGCATTTTGATAACTCACATAAAGTCCAGACTGTGGAGGACGATTCATAATCAATACCAAAAATACTGACACCCCCAACTCATCAGTCATTCTGCATCACACAGTAAACTATGAATGTCTTCTTCTAGAATGCAGAGTCTGGGGAATAAGGAATTAAAACCGAGATCTGCTTTTGAATTCAGTGCTTTCATTAAATGTTTGGCTACTCCTCAGATCAGGTTTGGTTTATTCAGATTAAATGTGAAGCATTTGGAAAGTGGCTTTGTATTTAAGAGTAAGATACAAAATGTATTGTGAGTACAGAAAAATGTACTGATGATCGTATACATTCAAATGGTTGGTCATAAACTCAAACATGTTTTGACTTTTAAAGCAAAAAATATAGCCTGTTGCAATTCTTTTTTATGTAATTTGTCTGGCGATGTGTATGCCTTTTATGAATGTGTGTGTTTATTAATGTTTCTAGATGAAGTTACTTTGTCTCATGGGAAACATATAAAATAATATAAATGTAGCGACATAAGAAATGCATCAAATATGCATATAGCCACGTAGTAGACACGTGTGTGTGTGTGTGTGTGTGTGTTATGTGAGAGTAAAAGTGAGTGTGTGTATGGTAGGAATCTGTGGTTGGGCGTATGCACATGCATTCTTGTGTGAACGTGTGCATGTGTGATCCTGGCAGTCTCCGGCAGCAGGCTTGAAATTAAAACCTTATGCGGAACGCGGCTCATGATTGGACTGGAATTAAAACAAAAGGCAGAAGAGCACCCTGAAAAAATGGAGAGAGGAGAAGAAGAGAAGTGTTTTGTCTGAGAGGGGAAGGAGTGAGCGATTGCCTCTGCTACAGTCCTACAGATCGTGTCTGGGCTGTTTCCTATCAGAATGTCAGGCGGACATTTCCCATTGGCTTGCTTCTGTCAGCAGTCTGCTTAAATGTGAAAGCAATTGGGGAAATTGGTGGAGTCAAAGAAACATTTCAGAATAGCTGTGATGAGATGGAAAGTGGATGTGCAGAAGGAAGAGTGGGCGAATACTAACATAAATATATGCTGCACACACACACACACACACACACACGGCTTTTCTCTTCTTACCAACATTATCACATACTGAGTAGTTCTAGCCTTTGATGGCTAAGATCATGCCAAACCACTATCTTTTTAAGTCTCGGTTGCCTTTTGTGGTGCATAGATTTCCATCTACATGTTTGATGATTAAGTTGAGTCTACATGAAGGAGATTAAGGCTACAGGTAATGTAGTTACTGTAACCTGTTTATTTATAAATCACTGACTTGCACCTACATTAACGAATACATAAATAACAAAATGTATAAAATAGTTTACGTGGAACATAATTTATTTAAGTGCCGTGAATAATCTGCAAACATCTAAATACAGTTTAATAGTCTGTGATATGAAGTGAACTACATATCGCTTCAGCTGCTTCTGAAGGCATTCCCCGCTGCTCTCACCTCTCTTAACCCTGAGTATGGAACATCTGCTTTCTCCATTCAGTTGTAGCTCGCTATTTTAATAGCTCTGGGCATCTTGCCTCGAAAAGAAGGAAAAAAAAGTTTGGGCTGGGGCCCCTTGCTTTCATTAGCAGTCTCTCCCAGTGATGTATAGAGCCCAAAGCTTTGCTGAGAGAGTTCTCACTGGTCAGCCTTCCCCTTTGTGGGCTGCAGCCTTGACCTATTCCCACCTCACAGTGTGTGAGTGTGTGTCCGTGTCCGTGTGTGTGTCCGTGCCTGAAAAGTCATTTCCATGAAAAAGGAGTGCAGAGAATGGACAGGGGCCGCATTTTCTTTCTCTGAGACGGCAGCAGACTCGGTTCAGGGGGGCACAAGGGCGACCTCATCCATCATCTTGTGAATAGCCTGGAATTATCGCCCCATGTTTCTGGACATTATGTGATCAAGAGATTCTTGACAAAAGGTCATCTTGGGTTGTGAAACTTGGGGTGGGCCGGCCCTTTAACATTTGAGTGGGATAAAAAAAAAGCTCATGATGCACATTCCAAATTTCTTGAGACTTTACGACTTTACAATCTATTTCAGTTTTTTTGTCGTTGCACTATTTGGGGTATCTAATTTCTAAGCTTTACAAAATATAGGCTATAGCTGTCAGGAGCCAGTGGTGAAATACAAAAAAAGGTATATTTACAACACCTTCCTAAAATCTACAACATGTTTTTCTTTTTGGCTGCAAGCTTCAGCAATGTGAGCTGCCCGCCTGTGCTGTGCATCCTCTGTGGGCGCTTGGAGGTTTTGTCAAACGGGAGGGGGGCGGGCCGCAGGGCGGTGGGCGGAGTTTTCATGCTGCTGTTTTGATTGGTAGGGAGTGACGTACCTGAAGCCACTTCCTGGTCTGCTCTCTGGGAGGAGGAAAGCGAGACTGCTGCAGTGTTGTTAGTTTGAACAAAATGGCTGCGAGACCACTGTCAACGAGAGCTCACTGAACGCCTACCATGACTATCCGCTCCGCTGTCTGGATCCAAACAGAATGTATTTCCACGGAGTCGTTTCTCACTTTGTATTTGCGGTAGCCAGCCCGTCGCTAGTCGTCCAGTTGGCGACCTAAACACATTTTTTTGTTTGCACTTTAGAACAAGTTGGCTGGCTGACTGACGGCCGTCGGCTTGCTCCCTATACGCGAGAACTCATCGGCGATTTTTAACGAAAACTGCGTGCTGATTTCTCTGGTTTTGCAAAACCTCGCAATCATCGACGATTAACAGCGTCAACCAGCTCACGTTAGCTTGCATCCTTCAGCTGCTTTTAAAAGTCATTTTTATTCGTGTTTTTTCTTTTGTTTTTGTTGTTAGTGGTGCTTCGTTTCCCTTCCCCGCCCCTCAATATTGTGTGACGTTTTTAACAAACTGTTTCATCGGCGAGGGTAATTTCACGGCATATTTTTTGCTGAAAACAAACATTACCGTACTTGCTGTGCGTATATCTGGCTGAGTAGCCGTTGTTTACCTCGGTATCTTCAGCAGCAGTCGGCTCTCTGCCAAGTCCGACTTGAACTGCGACTGAATCTCTCCTCCATCTCTTTACGGGTAACTTCAGAGAAGACATCGGATAATGCTTTTCTGCATATTTTATTCTGCCATGAACCTTCTCTTCACTGACATCTGCCAAATCTGTGGTTAACGAAAGGTACGTTCCAAATGAATTGCGTTTTACTCTTGGGAATGAATGTTATTGCTGTTCAGTGTTTGACAATAGTGGTTAGAGGATAGTGGACCGACAATGTCAAATAAAAAAGCCAAACTGACCATAATATCACGCCATTATTTTTCACAGCATTAACACATGGCTCTATGGTTTAATATCTCCATTCAGCCGAGTTACAACTGCGCATTAACACTACAGTAGCAATGTCAAGTGCCACTTAATTAAAACACCCATTAACAATGATCTGTGCTTATTTGTGGTGTCACCGTTGAAGGATTTCCTGAAAATATTCATGTTTTAGAACCTCAGAAATTATACAGGGTATTATATGATCTTGAGACAGACATCCAAGCACCCGGAGGATATTTGAAGGGAGTCCCCTGCAAATGATTTATGTAATGTTGGATTGATAAGAAAACCCTACAGAACGCAGAGAATGTGCTGCTTTTGGATATTCATTATGAAGTAGATGACGATATTTGCTATGTTTATTTGAAGGGGATTGACAGGAAAATGTTGGGAACTTTTGTGATATCATAGCTCTTTCATGATTGGCTGAATAGACAGAACACACTCGGTACATGTGAGCGTCTAATGTGTAGGTTTCTTGAACTGACTGAGAGAATTGCCTCAGCTTTTTCAATGTTGTTGTAGTCATTTGAATATAATGTTGTATTACTAGGCTTTTTTGTTAACACATTTCTATCTATTATTTTCCAGCACATTGAATCGACAGTGTTTTCATACTAGGACATATTCTTACATTATCCCGATTTCTCGTTGTCACTGCTCTTCCTTGTATCTTTCATTCATAGTTATATCACTTTCTGTATCTTGTACACTATTGTACATTCCACTACACTAATTCCAAGTACATTATTAAACATAGCTGTCCTGTCTCTCTTCCCTCCTTCCCTCCCCCCCTGACTTTGTTAGAAAGCCGGAGATACTGATTGAACTGTCGCCTTCTATTGCATCCCCCCTTCCTGCATCCTGTCCCCAGGCACTGGAGTATAGCTTTTAATATCTCCTCCGTGTGTCTTAATTGAAGTACATAATTTCCCGTTCAATTTCAAACCCCCATATTCATTCCCCCCCTTCTGGCATCTCTGTCACCACTGTCTTATCTCTGTCGTCACATTGATGATTAAATGAAAAATGTGCGTGAGTGGCACTGGCACACATGCATGTACATTTGCAGTACGATGGGGAAGACTGTTAGGGTATTTATTCCTGCGTACATCACACACACACACACACACACTTATGAGTATGTCTCCAAGCCTATGTGTGTATGACTGTGCCATGTCTGGAATGTAAGCATGTTGTTGCAATTGTTGTGTGTTTGAGTCATCCAGTCAATATGTAGACACGTGGAACGCCTGCCGTTTTTGCCATGGGAATGTGTTAGCATTTAGGTCAAGCTCAAAGCCTGGGCAGTTGGTTAATGCCCTGCTTTTGTTCAGGTTGTGAGCTGCCTCCTGCATATCTTAGAAACCCAGCTGACTCTCAGACACACACACACAGAGCCCTCTTCTTACCCAGGGTCAAGGGTCCTTCTCCTTTCCATGCGCACGCCCAAAAGGCTGCAGAGCACGCAGTAAGGGGGTGGCTGTGAAAAGATGTTTCAGGGGCCCTTCTGGTGTGTATGTAAAATGAGTGAATAGGGTGAAAAGAAAGACTTAAAGCAGGGTAAGAGGAGGAGGGAGTCTTCTAGTTTTCTTAAACACCATATAGTTAGGCTTACCCTTCCCAGACATAACTGCTTTAGCACCATAACTACCACTGCAGCCACAGCAGGTGGCTCCTCTGGAGGGCACTGGGGCAAATAGGGGATGTGTGTAGTTGTTAGGTAGGTCACTAGCACTGTGTTTACCCCTGAGGAACGGCATGTAATGTTGCAAAGAAGAGGCCAGAAGATCTCCTTTTCGATCTGTTTTACTGAATAAAAGTTTTCCTTTGTTCAATTTGGTTCTACAGTAATCCATACATGATTCACTCACTGGGAGAACCAGGAGAGCCTGGATAGTGTATCAATTAATGCCAACCTGTGAAAATCTAGACAGACATTTTTTGGACCCACATTATCTCAGTCTTTGGGTTTATAATTGGTTAGTTCCCATTGAAACAAGACCCAAAATGAAAAATATATTCACTGGGGCCCAGATTCAATGAATTATATTACATATTTTGCCATTTTGGGAGCTCACATGCAGGAAACCCATAACCCATGTTGGCTTTTGACTCAACTATGCTTTAGGCTGTTGGCATCTAGACATTGTTTTCATTACATTTTTTTAATAAAAAATGCCACAAGGACCAACCCTTGCAGGAACCACAGCACTACAGACACACTGCAGGCCTTCATCATAGAGAAGGTGGGATCATTAGTTAAAAATAATCTGAAGCTTGAGTCCCCTTGTCCAACCCTTTGCAGACTAAACATGTCCAATGTTCAGGTGGCTATCATTAGCCTGCTTTTCACTTCAAAAATGTAACTGGAGTGGACCTGCTTGACTTATACTGCTGTATCCCCATATAGTATTGGTTCTCCTGTTTTAGAGTTCATCTCTTGCCCTGGGGACTTGAACATTCAAATAAACAAAAAGTTATTCGTATCCCTCGTCGAACATTTTGTGTTTGCTTTGGTAAATCCCACTTAGTCATGCTTTGAAAAATGGCCCTTTGTTGTCATTCCCTATATTCCCTGTCTGTGGTAGTTACAGAGACGGTGATTATGAGGCTTTGCAAACAATTGGCTTGGTGCTGATAGATAACACGCTTAACACTTCTGCAGGCTGCTGCTGCAGTAGAGATGCACTGACTGTACAATCTGCTGGATTCAATGGGAGGCTGCCAAAAGCTGAGACCCTATTCTTCAGTTATATGGATGGCTATGTTGAAGTCAAGGGGGGCAATAAAAGACTCTCTATGCAGTTGTGTTTGGTGTGGCCATTCTGCTTCATGACATTTGTTTATGTATTGTGTGTAAGGGCCAGCGAGGGGGGAGTGTATGTTTACTTTGTTGCATTAGAATCTATAGGTAGCCAGAAATAGTTGTAGTATCTTTAGTTGGATGGAAAACACCCAGAAAACAAACTTCCACTTCCATATGCCCAGTGACATCTCCTCTGGGAGGTGTGGTCTGCTTTGTTTTGTCTGCACGGTTTATGCAAACTGTGTCTGCTTGGTCTTAGCCAGGATTCACTTCAGGTCTGACACTAATCTGCTTTGGTATGAAGCTGTGATAATCTTATCTTCTAGTGCTCCCAGCCCTAAATTCAACACTTCTTGATTGCATGTGTGCAAACTCAGCTCAAGCTTTCACTTTAATTAAAACATAAAACATATTTTTCAGAAGATTCAAAGTAGGGATGCACGATATTGGTTTTTCAGAGCGCATCGAGTTTAAAATACCATCTACAAGCTGATGCTGACAGCCCCGCTCCTGCCGCCCGCTTGTGGCAGACCACACTTCCACGCTCACCGGCAGGCACCGACTGGCTGTTGGGAGGACCGGGAGGGTGTGTGTAGCGAGCGAGAGAGACCTTACGTGCATTGTTGTTGTTAGCATCTGGTGCTAGCTAGCTGCGCTAACGGATATACGGAGCTGTTTAAATGAAAACAGAGGAGCGACATTTCGCCACAACTGCGCCGAGCACTTGACTTTATGCAGGAAGCCAGACAGTGGGACATTGTACGAAAAGTCAGCACACTCAGCAGGGATAGTGCGCAACATGATTGCAGCGTCCAGGCAGCTCCGGTTCGAGCATATGCCTTGAGTTGCACATAGCTCCAACGCCCATACCACCGACGACATGTTTGTTTACGGTCCTGGCTTCACGAGTTAGGGAGCGCTGGATTTGTGAAGAACTCCCCTCTTCCTAAACCACTAATACCACAGTACTGGCAAAACGGGAGGAGCCGAGTGAAAAACAAGCGCCCCTCATCCCAATCCACCCACACCGCAGTATTTTTTAATTTATTTTTTACCCAAAACATATATTGTATATTATCGGGGCTATTAATACTGGTATCGGGATGACGTCATAATTCCTAATATAATAATCGTGCATCCCTAATTCAAAGTATAGGTTTAGTCTGGGTGAACGGCAGGTATCAGGTATTTGAAGGTGACCATTAGTCTTGTGTAAGAGGACAAACACAGATGGTTCTCCTGTACATTATTATGTCAGACGGGGCTTTTGCATGGAAGAGGTATGGAAAAGTTGTGACCAAAGATGACTATGGGTGTTGGTGTGGTTGGGGGGTCTGTGTAACCTCCACCTCCTTGTCAATCGTGTGTGCCAATGAAGGGGGCAGAGCTTAGGGGGCCCACCAGGGGTAACCCAGGCCTGGATGGAAGCAGGGGGATGGGGGTAGCAAAGCTGAAACCGGCGAGCTGCTGCCTGTGAGTCTTGGCAGGGGTCCAGGGGAATGTTCAATGTGCCGAGGCTTGGTGGGGGCCCTCGTCCCTCCCTCTGCTGCATGTCGGCTAATTGGAGAGACGTGGGGAGAAGAAGAGGGCCATCACATGGAAGATGACAGAGAATATGCACGACATCCGACCTACAGTGTTCCCTTTTTCCTGCTCCAAATGGACACTAGCCAGCCTTACCTATTATGTAAAAAGACTTGGGCCTACAGCACTCCAACAGCCTTCAGTTATGGCTATAGAAATAGCAGTAGCATGCAGTGCTTGCCCCAATGCACAGTCCACGTGTTAGGCTCTTTAAGCTCAGGGCATTTGTTTGTCAGAGTTTTATTGCCTTAATTAACTGGAGAGCTATCAATGAAGTACTTTTACTTTGTGTATTTTGATTGCTAGATTGCATTTTAAGGACTTATTTTGATGAAACAGAACTGCTTTACAACAAAACATTTCTTGTGATGCTTGATTTGTAAATCACAATTGTGGCATAGCTTATTTTGTTTTAATTAAATCTAAGGTAGATTGTTTGTTATTGAACCTTTTTCATTAT